ATATTAAATGGAAAAGGAGCATGGTAGTGAAGGAAAAGTGGATGAGTGACTCTCTTGGCTGCTATTGACCTATCAGAAGAAGACAGTGCCCTTTTCCTTTGCTTTTATCTATTACAGTTTTCCCTATTGCGTGTCAAGTTGATGTATTATAAAAAATTCATTTGGTGACCTTTCACCCCCCTAGCAGATTAAACAATTTCACTGGGATGGCATCATTAACAGGGCCTTGCATTTAATGATGATTTCTCTAAAAGGCCACGGAGATTCGATTTTAAGCTAACAGATTTATTGCACTATTATAACATATCGTAAAAAACTGTACCACCTACGGTCTGGTTTTAGGATAGAAACTGTTTAAGAGTTTATGTGGAGCTTAAAGTGATATTACCTTGGGATATGCAGCAGCAGCGAAGCTCTGACCTCCGGCATGATGCTGCTTACATTCAATAAAAGACATTCCTCTGACAGAAAGCTTTGGGAGTGTGTTATGGAAGAGACCTGGGTTAGCTCCTCATCACGAGCAGGTAGAGTTCTAAGTACAGGTATTTCCACTCAGCTCCAGTGATTAATGGAAGCTGCTAATGAAGTTGGAGGGTGTTTCCTTTCTGTTGGATGGACTGGTTCTGAAGGGTCCTCTCATCCTACCTTACCTTTGAGTGGGTCCAGTAGGGTCCTTCTGTCTCTTTTTTTAGGATGACTTCTCATTGCTCCAGCCCGTAGGACCCTTCCAGCTGTCTCCACCAGGCAACTGCTCACATTCAGCCTTTGGTGTCACTGGGGTCATAAAGTGGAAAAGGAAAGCTATCTGAGCAGGGAGGAAGGTTGTCTTAATGTGGGAGACATGTCTGGATGTTCCTGGGCCACTTTTTCAGAACTTGTTCAGTCTCACCAACTTATCTGATGCTTTCAACTGCCTCAAAATATCCAGCTTTAACGAAGACATCTTTGCTTCAAGAAATGAATGCCCTCCAAATGATTAGATAAGGAAGCATATTCCTCTTGTCCAGCCTTGCCACAGAGCATAGCTCAGTTCCTTGCTTCTTACCCCAGTTCATCACCAACCCAGGCCCTGTTGCTGTGTCGCCATATGCATTTAGGTGCTCAGGTTTTTTTATTTTAGGTCTTACTGCTCAGCCTACATGTAACAAGAGAGACATCAGCAACCATGGGTCCTTTCTGCCCAGCAGCCCCATCCTCATAAATAGACATGATCGATATAACTTTGTTTACTTGTTTATTAGGGAAAGCTGAAAACTACTTTCCACTGCAGCTTCTGTTTCTCTCTATGACATGGGAAATCATGGGAATCTGCTGAAACATCCAGCAGAAACGGCAAAGGCACCTTGTGTATGGCCAACCTCATCACCATATGACAACAGAGGACACTTCTCCAAAAGGCAAAACTACTCACAGCCATTCCAGTGAATCTGCACCTACTTTGCTGTATAGAAGTCCTCAGATTGTCTGTCTTTTCACTATGGCAGCATCCTCCTTGGCCCTGCCACCTCCTTTCAGAAGCAAAATAAAAACCTCTTGGCTTTACCAAGTGATGCATCTTGATGTTATCATACCAAAAATTCTTCCCAAACTCCTTCCACTTTCAAAGATGTATACTGATGCCATGCTACTAGTACTGCAGGCATATCCAGACAATAGTTTAATTAAATTGTGTTTATGAGTAAATTAAATATGCAAGGGACCGTGCTCTGTCAACAAGTTCAGATTATATGGATCAGCCCATGTCCATAAAATTAAATCCTTTCTCACATCATTTCAGAGTGGCCCCAACCAAACTGCCTGGGGAGAAGAGTCTCTGGCTAGCTTCTAAACCATCTGGGAGTTGTCTTAGGCTTTGTTATTGGGCCAGAACCAGAGTCTGTGATGGGCTGTCAGTCTGTCATGCCTTGATACCTGCAGTAGATGCTCTGATTTCTAAAATCTCTAACTTCCTTGCTACTGAACAATTGGACTTGGTGATCCTTGGTGAGCAGTTTTTACGCACCCCAATGATTCTATGATTCCACAGAGCAGACACTTGCTTTCTTACAGAGCCTCAGCATCTTCATTAGACCACAGCCCTGACAGTGGAAGGTTTGGGAGCCTGACCCTGAGTTTACTGCTGACCCATGTATCATGAGCAGTGCCTGCTTGCTTGCCACCTTTAGGAGAGCTGCAAGGCACTGAGCAGCCGAGCTGTTTGCTGTCAAGTGCTGTCAGCAGGGAATTTCAGACCAGCCTGCTCCTTACCAGTGTGAGACTTCATGGTGGTAACAAAACAGCATGCTCTTCGTGTCCATCATGAGGAATGCAGATTTCTCTGCTCCAGCCCTTCTGACGCACAGCAATTTCCCGTCTCCCAGAGGCAGAGCTGTGCCAAGAAAACCTATTTTCCTAGCAGCAGAAATCAGCAGGGAAGCAGCTGGATGCTCTGGTCTTCCACACCAATACCCAAGCATAGGAGAGTGACTTGCTGCACACAGGGCTGCACCCTGAGGCAGGGGCTACCTCACAGCAGGAATAACATTGGGCCATGTAGAATACAAATGCCAGGCTCTGTGCTATGCTAGCTGGATTCTCATCACCTGCAAACAAACATTGGTTCTTAACCATATCTATGTATTACTTTTGTGCCTTTTGTTGTTGTTGTTGTTGTTATGATTGGGTTCTTTTTGCATCTTCGTCTTCCCTTCCCTTCCCTTCCCTTCCCTTCCCTTCCCTTCCCTTCCCTTCCCTTCCCTTCCCTTCCCTTCCCTTCCCTTCCATTCTTCTTTCTTTCCCTTCTTCTTTCTTTCCTTCCTTTTTAATTTCTTCCTTCTTTTTTTTTTTTTTTTTTCTCTTTCTTTTTCCATTTGCTCTGTTTGGAGAGCAGGAATTTCTACTTCCAACAAACAGATTTTGCAGCAGGCTTCCTTTATGTGCAACACAAACACCATTTTCCCATGTAAGGCCTAGAGTGTGGGGTTGAGGCATTTCATTCCAACCTTTTTCCTGCTTTTTGGCAGTTTTAAAGAAACTGGGAAGAGAAACATAATGTTTTTGAGTTTTTTTGTTGTTGTTGTTTTGGTTTTTGTTTGTTTATTTGTTTGGTTTTGGTTTTTGGTATTTTTTTCTTGCTTAAGAAGCCATGTCAAGATTCACTTGAACTTATCTGGACTCAGCTGGAACCAGAGAGCTCACAGAAATTGCTGAACTCCACCATATCAGGAGTGACTTGGTGTGTTGTGCCTGAAGTGGGTTTAAGTTAAAGTGCTGATTGCTCATTAAGGAAGGAGGTAGAAAAGAGCACAGATGAATGCCTTGGTGCCTTTGACGTGGATTTCCTATGTATCATTGCCCTTCTGAATTTCCCACACTCAAAAAAAAAAGAAGAGCCAAGCCAAATGTTCTTTTTTTAAAAAAAATCCTTGAGTCAGCTCTTGAGACTTCAGGTGTCATTAAAGCTTTAATAGCTATGATGACAGGGAATGGCCTCAAGTTGCTCCAGGGGAGGTTCAGGATGGATATTGGGAAAAATGTCGTAGATATTAGATATCTTAGATATGAATATCTTAGATATTAGAAAATATTCAGTGATAATGCACTGGAAAGGGATGCTCATGGATGTGGTGGAATCACCATTACTGGAAGGCATTCAGGAATCATACAGACCTGCTGCTAAGGGAATGGTTTAGTGGGAAAATATTAGTGGTAGGTGAATGGTTGGACTGGATGATCTTGGAGGTCTTTTCCAGCCTTGGTGATTCTGTGATTTTATTTGGTCTTCCAGTGTCCATTTTTCAGGCCAGTATTTTTCTTCAGCTCCAACATAAGCAGTTTCTGCTTTGTAATGCGTAGTAACACCCCCTTCAAAAAATCAAACCCTGAGTTAAACCTAAGGAAACTGATATTCCATATATCTTCTGTTTGTAAGCACCTTTAAGCAGGCTCTGGAGATGAATGAGTGCCTTTCTTCCTTTCATTTCAGACAATATGAAACCCCCAGTCGCTTCACGACAATTGCAGATTAGAAGTATATATACATATACACATATATATGTAAAAGAGATGCTAAATGACACAAAGCACTGAGAGAAGGAATGAAATGATGTAGGCTCAGAATAAAATGTTGGTTCTGTATTCAAATGCAAAAGCCCTCTCCTGGGATTCTCTAATTTAAATTTCAAGTCTTGGAAAACTGATGTCTTTCAACGGGGTGTCTGTATACTGCTGTATATAGGTGCACAGACTTCACAGATAATGAGAAGTAGTGCAGGAATTATGAGATGCAGAAATGCATTAAAGCACTATAAGTGCTGTGCTTGCGTAGAAGAACTGAAATTTTGTTTTTAGAGGATCTCAAAGATACTTTCTGGAAGTGGTTCATCTGGACAGTAAGTATTTGCAGCCTCCATCATTCTCAGTGCAATGGAACAGAGACTTTGGGGGCCATGGTATTACAGTTCTCAATCCATAATTTCCTTGTCTAAGAGCCATTTATTTTTTTACATTTCTCAATTTCCCATCTGCAAACTGAGGATAGGAACAAAGAGATCGTTTATTAATTTGATATTGTTGTCTCTTCAAAATGATGCTTGTTTCACAGTTCCATGCATGCTGCTCTCATCCCACGAATCGAAGTGCCACCATAAGGTTAATCAGTAACTTTTTAGTGCTACTCACAACAGACATGGAGTATTGAATCATAGAATCATAGAATGGTTTGGGTTGGAAGGGACCCTTAAATCATCCTGTTCCAACCCCCTGCTATAGGCAGGGAAACCTCCCTCTAGACCATGTTGCTCACAGCCCCATCCAGCCTGGCTTTGATTGGATGGGACTTTGAGCAACCTGGTCTAGAGGGACCTTTTCTATGCAGACAGCACAGTAGAAAGTTCTGTGAACAGAAAGTAACATAGCGCTGTTAATTACCTCTGGGATTAGCTTTAGGTATAAATAGCAATTTTCTGATTTATTTATTTCTTTGTTTGTTTATTTTTGCATGTGAAACAAAATGGAAGCAGACAGCACCCAGGAACCTGTTTGTATGTGAGGCCCTATAGCATTTCTGTTCATGTGCAGCCTTCAGATGGAGAAATCGAAAAGCAGCTTCCTGTGCAGCCACAAATCGTTTTCCTGGATAAGAAGGTAGGATTTGCCCCTTTGTGAGTGGACATTGTTATTCATACTGTATGATTTTGACATTTCCAAGCAATCCAGAAGCTATGAGACTGACCGAAGTACAGCGTAAAATAGCTGCACAAATACATATGACAAAGGATAGCATAAATAAGCAGTCATTGCTATTGTGAGATGTCTTTTTCAGCTTCTCCCTGCGAGTGTTAGATCTGTGTTGGAGAATCAGTCGTGTGCAGTTTTCTGACATGGTCCTGATGCTTAGTGGATAACTTTGAGGAATGAGAGACCTTCAAAACAATTACGAAGACTGACATTCTCAGCTGGATGGGACTCTGAGCATCTAATGGAGCTGTAGGTGTCCCTGTCCATGGAAGGGTGGTTGATCTCCTTCATGATCTCTTCCAACTCTAGCAATTCAATGATTCTGTGATGACAGAGAGTGTCTAATGGTGCCTCCTGGTCTGGCCAAGCAAGTCTGCACAATGCAGAGCAGAGCTTTGTGGAGGTCAGCATATCTAGAACGTGGTTGGCCATTCATGTGATGCAGCACAGCCACGCCAGAGGTACGAACACAAGTCTTGGAAGTAGTAAAGTAGGTCCAATGAGTTCTCTGCTGTTGGTGAATTGCTGTTGTTTTACAGTAAAGCTGGCTCTGGATATTCATTCAACATGAGACTTGTTTTACAACCGTTAGGCACGAGACTTCCAGCTTCTTTCTGTTTGTCTTCAGTCCTCTACACATACTCATCTTATGCTTTGGGCTGTGCAATATGCTGCTCAGCCTGCAGCTCCTGTAGAAGGCGTTTTCTACTATTAGAACGAACTTAGAAGCCACGATTATGTCAAAGTTATCTACTTAGCTTAATTCTTCTGTTTTGTTTTTCTTCCCAGGGTCGAAGAGTTGACACACTGGGCCCTCCCTCAGAACCCTGGGTTGTTTCAGCTCACCTCAAGGGCTCCTCTGAGGCTGTGCTAAAAGGTTTGGACGTGTTTTCTTATGGCAGGAGTTACAGCAAAGCAATTATGGGAAGTGACGCTGACGAATTTATGGTGAAATCCTCCCAGAAAAGGATTGGGTTTGAAATTTAGCCTCAATGATAAAAAAAAACAGAACGTTGAATTGGAAGAGGTTGTGTGGACTTCCAGGTTGTGTCTTTATACAAAGTGTTTTTGTACTCTGGCAACTTAAAGGGAGCGAATCCAATAGTTTATCTTGAAAAGATGCATCTTAGATCAAAAAATGAACGAATGGAGAATTAGAAATCCCAATACCTGATTTGCAGCTAATGTTAATTAGGGTAATTTCCTCAGAGTCAACGACAATCTGTTTGTCCTAGAAAATGTTCAGGCCAAGTACAGACAGAAACAACTGCCTATTGTTTTTAATTAGCATACTTCAATGTGAAAATGTTTTTCATGAGGGATTTAAATGTTTCCCTTCTGGTCCTCATTTATCAAAAGACCTGAACTCATGATTAACTCTAAGCATGTGAGTATTTCCCTTGAGGTTATTGAGACTATGAACACGCTCAGATATAGATCCTTGTTTAAGTATAGTGCTGAACCAAAAACCTGTGGATGATCATATGCTTGTAAACTAGAAAATGGAAATGAAATCGATTATAAAGCATCATAATGTTAATTGCTAAAACCTTTAAATGTAAGCAAACGGTGTGCATGCTGAATACTGAATCTTCCTAATATCAGTAAGGAATTGTTTGTAATAATAAGGCCATATATGTGTTAGCTTTGATTTAAAAATTAACACTTGGAGAAGATAAGTGTTTCTCATGCCATAGATAGAGTTCTAATCCTTTGGGCCCAGTTCATGTTTTTGTTAATTAGAAATAGCTCCTACCTTGTCGAAGTTCTGTGTTTTCAGGATGGGAAATCATTTTGTCTTTTCATTTTAGGCTTTTCATGCCTTCTTAGGGAATCTAGACTAATCTAAGTCTGAATGTTGAGTTAGCTACTGGCCAACAGTGAAGGAAGGAAGGAAGGAAGGAAGGAAGGAAGGAAGGGAGGGAGGGAAGGGAAGGGAAGGGAAGGGAAGGGAAGGGAAGGGAAGGAGAAGAAATGCAAAACAACACGAAAGAAAGAAATAAAAAAGAAAGAGAAGTCACTGCAGAGAAATGCAATTCACGTTCTTTAAAAGATACATGCATCAAATTAATAGTCAATAAACTCCAGCAAAGAATGAACTGCGTCGTACAGATGTTCCGCATGTAATAGTTTGCTGCAGTTTTTCCTTTGACAAACGTCCTTATTGTACTCGTCTTTTGAAGCGTATGAAAGCAGCATTTAATCGAAATGGGTCCTGTCTAGCACACTGAGGCTGCTTCATCTGACAGCAGCCAAACTGCCTCATGGAAAGTAGTTTAGCACCAAATTAGCTTGCTTCTGCGTTAAATACCAGCTTGCCTGAGAGATCTTTGTGAAGACTCACATATATATCTATAATATTCTGAGCTTTGAAGCATATGTGCCTGAAAGCAGATAGTCTATGTTGAGGAGTACAGTACAGTACTCCAGGCTTCAGTGCAGACAAGAAATGGCAGTTATCAAGTGTTTGGATGACAGAACTCTCTGTAACAGTGGTGTTATGGTATCAGAGATGAGAGAAATCATGGTAGTCAAGACATACTAGCATAAAGAAGGTCATATATAGCATGTAGCATGCTTCTGCTCGAAACCCCCTCTCTAGCAGTTGCTGGCCATGGTTCAGAAGTTAGCACAGCAAGAAGAAATCTCAGTTGGCTGTTTGAATGCAGCATAGAATTATAGAATCATAGAGTCATTAAGGTTGGGAAAGATCTTTAAATCATCAAGTGCAACCCCAGCCCACCCTCACCCTGCCCACTAACTGTCTCTCAGTGCCACATCTACCCTTTTCTGGATCACCCTCGGGGATGGTGACCCCACCACCTCCTTGGGCAGTTGTGCCACTGCATCACTGCTCTGAGATCCAATCTGATATCCAACCTGAGCCCCCCTGGCACAACTTGAAGCTGTCACCTCTCGTCCTATCACTGTTTCCCAGAAGCAAAGACTGACCCCCACCTCATCACAACCTCCTTTTGTGGCACTGTAGGGATGATGAAATCTCCTGTGAGCCCCCTCTGTTCCAGACAGACCCATCCCAGTTCCTTCAGCCACTTCCCATAACACTTGTGCGCCAGATCCCTCACAACTCTGTTGTCCTTCTCTGGACACGTTCCAGTGCCTCAATATCTTTCTTGTAGTGAGGGGCCCAAACCTGAACACATTACTCAAGGTGCAGCCTAACCAGAGCTGAGTACAGGGGAGCAAACATCTCGTTCTTCTGCTGGCTGCACTATTGCTGATCCAAGCCAGGATTGCCATTGGCCGTTTTGGCCACATGGATAGTGGCAGAGACTGGAGAAATTGTTTCCCTTGGATTACCTTGCAGTCCACCAGCAGAGATGCTTTAGTGCTAACTTACATGCCTAATAGAGACAGAAGATCTTGCCTTCTTTCTTTACTTTTGAAGGTACAGGCCAGGGTGGGAGAGCATAATGCTACAGTCACAGATACAGATACCTCTTTTGGTCAGTCTCCTGTTCATAGGCATGTGTGAAATAAATGCCATTTATTTTCTTTGTGCTTTCTAAGATTGTGTGAGTGCATTTGAGAAGCAAGGAAGTGAAAGAGAACTGGACATCTCTATGCAAGTCTTTACATACAGCTGGAATGTAAAGATGATTCCATATATTGATAGCTAATATCCTTGACGTTTCGCAAACTTAGGTCATTAGATCATTAATAAAAGTACAACAGGAAAATCCAAGCTGGGATGAGTTTATCCCAAGCCATAGAGAGCTATGGGAACAGAGGAGGTTTGATGCTGTAAGATATTCATTGTTATGAGATAAATTCTTGCAGTCAAAAGCCCTTCCCCACCTGCTGAGCATTGCTACGGATGCCTGATTATAAAGTGTCTCACAATGTTTTCTGCTTCCCCACTTTCTTCACTACTCAGGGTATTGGGATGGAAGGATATAAACATGCTCCTCACATTCAGTCTTAATGCACCTTCACCTGTATTTCTCGACTGCAATGAAATGCCAAACCACCTGCTTCGTAAAGCAAGTGGCGGCTACGTGTTGTCTCCAGGCAGGAGAAAGTCTGTGTTTGTGATCACTGGATCAACTCCAGCATCCAAAGGAATTTCTGACTTCTCGCCCCCACCTGAACTAACATTTTGGAATTTGTCAGTCTTTCAGATTTTAGCCTTTTCACTCCAAGAGTCTGAATGAAGCCCAGACCCGGTCAACATTGCTCGAGGGCCAATACTTGGCCAGTACTCAAAAACACACACAATAAAATGGAGATCCAGTTGCAAAGTAAATTACAAATTTTAAAATGAGACTACAAAAATAGAAACCGTAACACACGTAAAGGCTGGATCAGAAAACATTCCCTTACAGCTTAGAACAAGAGGTAAAGTGACGGCTAATGTCTCTCCTAGGTTTCATTTTCGTGCTCCCCATGCTAGTTTTCCAACTGAAAATCTCTCCTGCATGATCATAGGATCATCACCATAGACATTCTTCATGGCCAAATCCCTTTCAAAGCTTCTGGCAGGGCTGGAGAAAGTTCGGAATGTTTTATCAGTAGGACAGGAGGTCTTACTGATACTCCCTGCCATGAACAGGGACACCCACAGCTCCATCAGTGCTCAGAGCTCCATCCAGCCTGACCTTGGCTGTCTGCAGGGATGGGGCAGACCCTGATAAAGATTCTGTTGCTCCTTTTTTTTGAAGGACTTGAGTCATGCTTATCCGGAAGCTGCTGATGGCAGTTTGTTTTTTAAATTGTTCTGCAGGGCTCACTGAAGTACAGGTCATAGGTGGACGTGCAAGCTTTTCCAATCTGGCTGTCTCCAGCTCAGGCACCAACTGGAACCTCGTGTTCACTGTCACATCACCACCAGGTAAGATCCACTTTTGGCATCCTGTGGCCAAAACACTGAGTTTATAAAGAGAGTTATGTGTAAAGTTTCTCTTCTGCTATTATGTATGAGTGTATATAAATATAACCTGATGCCTTTCAGGTACAAAGAAGCATAGGAAGGAAGGAGAGAAATAGCTCCAAGAGGGGTGAGGAGCTGTCTGTGCAGCTGCACAAAGCCCTGCTGAATATTCCTTTGAAAGACTGGAGATCATTTTCTTTACCCATGTTCAGAAATCCTCTCAAAATGGAGTAGGTGTGAAGAATGAAGGGAAGAAAGAGCATTTTTTTAATGAGAAAACTCCAAGATAGTGTGGCTTGGTTAAACTGGAAGGCAGATATATCAGACAGGTGACATGACCAGGTGGAAGGGGCTAATGAAAAATATCCGAGCTAAGAAGTTAGAATATTACTTACGTTTAGAGATTTAGAGTGCTTTTTTTTCTTCTTCTTCTTTTTCTTTTTTTTCCTGAACACTGTATCTCAATAGATAAGAAATATGTGAGCAGAAGATCAATTGCTTTTGGGTGGAACTCGATACACTTGTGGATATTAATGTATAACAGCACATACAATAGCATGGATTTCTAACCCAAGAAATCCTTTCCTACCCTGGATTTAAACCTATATGTTTTTTAAATTATTATTGTTTTATTTTTAATGAGAAACCTTTGCTCTTCCTAATCACAAGTGACTGCTCAACATCAAATGTTCCCTGTGTCTTTGCAAAGGGAAAATGATGGTGCAGGAAATACTAGAGGTGAGCCTCCAGAGGGGGAACATCTGTCCATGTGAGGGTGGATGCAGCTGAACACCCACAGCTCCCATTGCCTTCACTTCAGGGAGAGCAGATGGAAAATCAGCACCTCACAGGATCTGACTCTTTAGTGGGAAGTGTGGCTTAAAGAAATGTGTTTTAAAATCTACTACACAGGAGTCACAAAGTCTTCTTTCCTCTGAACGGAGGTCAAATGCAGATCTCTTATGAAACAACAAGCTCGTCAGTGTTGCAATGAGATGTTTAAAGCTGTGAGTAAAGACAGCTAGTGCATCCATGTAGGTATGACCTGTGCAAATCAGAGCACTGAACACTTAATATGCACTGTAGAAGCAAACAAGCAACACCCTTTGCTCATTTGTAATTGGGAACCATGCTGTAGTCAATAAAAAGACTTTTAATACTACCAAACTCTTCCTGAAGATATTTGCTTATTGTTTGGGATAAACAAACAAACATTAAACAAACAGTAGGCATTTGTGATAAGTTTCAATGAATGTATTTCTGGCATAAGTGATTCAGGCTTCTTCAATTTGGAGACAACTCAGAAGATGCTGCTGTTGTTGAATACAGTCATTTCAATTGTTTTAATGGTGGTTCCTGGGGAGAGTGGTCTGTTCATAGCACTGCTGCATGGTCCTGCTCCTTGTTTTGCAGTAACATTTATTTATGTGATATAGATCCCAGTGGGCTCCATCCACCCACTTTCCATTTAAACCAACAGCAGCCTGCTTGAAAACTATCAGTGTGAAATGCAGCCTTTAAGAACTCATCTGTGTAGTGTCTTCAGTACCTATGAGGTTACTTCTCTCTTCTAAGCTGAAGTTCATACATGCCTATATCTGCAGGCAAATTTTTCCCAGCTGAAGCTTCCTTCCCACACTGTTCTGATGAAGCTCTACTTTGTTTGGGTGGACAGTAGTGATACAAAGCTAATTAGTTTCATATAAAAGCACTTACAGCTAGTTATCCACATCCAGAAACCTCCACCTGACACCGCTTCACATTTTTCAATGAATTGATGAAAAAAGGTTTTTCATTTTTATTATTAGAATGGGGACTAGAAGTAAAAGAAATATATGCATGTTGACATTATTAAGACAGTGGCGTTTGGACTAATAATAAGTGGTCCAAGGCTCATGCTAAGTCTAGACTCTGGGAGGATGTTTCCTGGGGGAGTCAACCCAGATCTGAATGTGCCAGGCACTTTCACAACTGAAGGTTTTGCATCAATTTCTTAGGCCTTAGATCATGTATCAGTACCACTGAAAAAGCAAAGACACAAGGGATCAAAACCCTTTTGTATTTCTGATGTTGGAAGTGAGCAGTGTTCGTCATCTTCCAGACTTTGTAGCTCAGATGTGGAGAGCCAATTAACTCTTGGCCACAGATGAGCAGAGCCTGGTTTGATTCTGATCTCATTTGGAGAAAACTGTGGGATCTCTGAGTGAAGAACATTACCCAAAGTTTGTGTGCTTTGAAGTATTTACAGTGAAATGGAAACATGCAGCTCTAGGCTGGATGGAGTTTTGAGCAAACTGGTCTGGTGAGAGGGGTCCCTGCCTATAGCAGGGGCTTGGAACTAGAGGATCTTAAAGGCCCTTTCCAACCCAAACCACTCTGTGACTCTGTGAGTCTATGATTCCTGTTGATATGCTCACTGTCATTATGATGTGCTTTCATGGATTTAAACTAAATGCTAGTCAGTGTTTCTAGATTCCCCATCATTTACATTCAAATAAGTGACATGATACTTGCAAAAAGTGCACATGAATCAGCACCTTTCTCATTGCAACCAGTTTCTCAGTCTTGTTAGATAGAATATGCACATTTCCTGACTGGTCCTGATCTGTTTTGTCTCACAGACAAAAATTTTCTGAACATATTTTCTGGGTTTGGTAGCCTGCACAGTTAAATACAAAGAGACTGTCTCTGCTTCAGGAAGAACTTAATTCTTGACAGCTACTGAAGAAATGTTGTTACATATTTGGTTTATCCCAATACTCATTCCTGACTCAATATTGTTGGTTAATGTTGGATGTGTGGAAGAATGGACTTTGGGGCTGTTTCTGCATGCATTTTTAGAGCAGTAAAACTGTGGGAAGGCTATACCTTGGTGTTTTAATTGTGAAACCAGTGTCCTTACTTTGGCAATACACTCTGACTGCTTTGAATTCTCAGGAGCTAAATTCACTGTGCTATCTCAGCCGTTCACCATCTTCCCTGTGCCCGCTGGAGAAAAGGCCAGCTTCATTCTTGTTGTCTTACTGAGTGCAATAGCATCTGCATTTGTCCTCACTCTTGTGCTCTGCTGGTTCAAGAAGAGCAAAAACAACAGTAAGTTGGAAATGTCCATTAAAATTTATATTTGGAGACTCCCTTTTTCATTTGACAGATTTCCAGACTGGCTGCAGCACAATTTAGAAGCAATGGTAATACAAACTGGGCAGACTGTTTAAGGCTGTATGTGACTTTTACACAAGTATAGCCTGATAGGTTTCCTATTTTTAACATCTTCTGGCTTTGGATAAACTCAGAATGGGTTTGTCTAGTTACATAATCTCTTCCCTTCCCTTCCCTTCCCTTCCCTTCCCTTCCCTTCCCTTCCCTTCCCTTCCCTTTTCTTTTCCCTCCTTCCCCTTCCCCTCCCCCTTCCCTTTCTTCTTTCTAATTGTTCAGGTGGACAGTGCCACTTAGTGAAAACTCTGCAAAGGTCATTAATTAGCATTATTATTCATAATTCAGAGCTATATATTTTTTGTACCTGTAGCAGATGGTTGAGTATGAGGCACAATGAAAATTAGATATCAATAATGCAGATAAAGATTTGCGAAACAAAAAAATGATGCTATGTTTTCCTGATAAAGTATGACACGACAAAATATTGCCATGGTGATGTTAATGCAAAACCATTGTGCTGACCAAGGACCTGTGACATCTTCATTGTCAGTGCTCAGAGGCAGTGGCTCAGCCATGCTCATATCCCATACCATGTTATCTATATCATATACGTCAAAGTGGAAATGAGAGGGCTGGAGCTTCTCTAGACTCTTCCCCTAAGCAAATCCACATCTTTACTAATTTGCCTTAAGATTGCTGTTTTTCAGCATTGGTCTTAAAGCAAAGGCATCAGGCTTTCTCAGTACAGACAGCATAAAATTGTTTGAGCAAGAGAAGAACTGAAGATAAGAGCTGCTACTGTTCAGTGGCTTACTCTCTAAATAGTCATCTTAAAATTATGGATATGTTGGAAGTTACTGATAATTTGGCTTTCCAAGCATGTTAACAGAGGTTGTGACCTAGCAAAATGTACCAGTAATGCACAGGGAAGGAGTCAATACACTTCTCTGATAATAAAGCATTTTAGACCTGTTTCCCATTTCTTTCAAAACCTCCTCCCTAATTTCACCAACCTTTTTTCTTCCAAGTAGCTTTGCAAATGCAAGCCAAAGAGTTTTTTGTCTAAATTGCACCGTGAGCACCAGCTGCACCTAAAGTCTGAATTTCTAGTGTTATTGAATATTGTGACAACATGAGGAAAGACTTTACCTGAAGAAAACAGGTGGGATTCCAAATGGCAAAACACAAGATGATATGATCATAAAACAATTTTCTCTGCTTTTGGGCAGAAAGAACACTTGTGGATTATCTGCAAATTCACCAGCAATATTTTGTTGCTTGAAATAATAACTGCTGCTGTGCTGAGGGTGGATTGAGACTGACATGACTATGTGCTTTGTTCCAGAAACGAGGACTAAGAGGACTGATGTACCACAGGTCATTACCAAGGCACCCCAAAAGCAAGCACATCCTCATGCACCTCATGTCCAACCCTGCTACGATCAAAGACAGAATGACAGTGGTGTGCCTGTAGCAGGAGGTGAGACTGCAGTTTGAGAATAATTCAAGTTTATAAGGAATGGGATATCAGAAGGGTTGGTTTAGGTCTCTTAACAAACTATAGGCTTGTGTTGGGTCAGTGGGCTCTGTTCTTCTCAGAAGGTCTATCACTTCGTTATCTCTTCTGTGTTCTCCATGGTTTTAGTCTACGTGGTGTGTTATCTCTTTGTCTCATAGAATCATAGGATGGCTTGGGTTGGAAGGGATCTTAACAGATCGCCCAGTTCCAACCCCCTGCCATAAGCATGGTTTCCACCACCTAAACCAGGCTGTCCAGAGCCCCATCCAACCAGCCAGCACCCCAAATGGCTCAGTGTCCACCATTTTGTATCCCCTTAATTCCCTATGTCTCTGCCATAAACAGCCCTCTTCCACACACCTCCCCAAGACCTGTCTTTTCATCTTCTGTTGATCAAACAAAACTTCTTCTGAGGTCACTGAGAAGCAGACAGCCTCAAGGCATGTAGTTGGCAGCACAAAGTGCTGGCTTCCCTCTCTGCAAGTATGAAATGTTCATACAGTGGTTGTTTTGTGGTGGTGTTTTCTGGTCTCACCTTCCAACCGTGCACATCTGAGGGGGTTCGGATAACCCTGATGAACCACCCATTTACTCAGTGTGGGGAATTTCTTTTTCACCCTCCTTCCCCATGTGTGTGGATTACATAAGAGGCAGGAAGAAGCAAGATGGAGTTTTATCTCCTCTTAATTAGCATCCATCACGAAAACAAAGGGAGAAGGAGAAGGAGAGAGGAAATTCTGCAGTTTATGTGTTTTGATATTTGCTGTACTCTTCCAAAACACAGCATTCAGCTGTGTGCCTTAGGACACATATCTGCTATAAATTCATTTTTTATCTAATTTGTCTGAGATCTAAGCTTCCTGTGGAGGTCTGAGATCAAAGGATCTGATTCTGTCTGATGTTGGCTCTGACACATAATGCGTGCTGACTTAGTTCTGTCTATAAACTCGCAGTGGGAGGCTGCCATTCTCCCTTGGCACCTTTACATAGTGAACTTTCATTTTGGCTGGGGAGGCTGACAGGTACAACGTTGATTGGAGCCGTCATGTAAATAATTCATGGCAGCATTTTTTTTTTTTTTTGTCAGAAAAAGGCAATCCAGCCACTTAAAGTCTTTTAGGAATAGTTGTGAGACAAAAAGATTCCCCGATATGTTCAAATCTAAACAAGGAGAACAATATCTTAAGTGAATTTAATACATATGACTTGGAATGACTTGACTAATGTTTGATTTCCCCTTATTTAAAGTGATGTTGGTTTTGGAGAGAGAGGAAATCAAAGCTACAGTCGTTTTGTTTACTTTCTGCTCTACAGAAAGTTCCCCCCATAAGAGATCCCAGTTTTCTAATACAATGAAGTTTTCAGAATCTTAATTATTAATCACCACAGGAAGTCTTGCAAGGCTGGGTTTTCCTGTTTGATAGGTGCTTGTGCAGTGCAAAGACCAAAGGAAGTGCAGGTCCTGGTTGTAGTCTCAGAACAAGTAGCTGAGGATGGGGATGAGGAAGAAAGCTGTAAGCATAGATATTCAGTACTTCAGGGGAGAAGGGATCAAGGTATTGCAGTGTCTGACCTTGGCATAATAACAAGTCCCTTCAGCTTCAAATAATGATCTCAGCCTTGAATTAAATAACTTTTGATTGACTAATGTACGGCTAACAGGAGGGCACCTGGAGGTGGAGGAGCATATTGCTCCTCTCTGTAGTCTGTGCTGGTGCTTTGTCACCTCCATCACTGACAAGTTTTATCTTACACCAGTTTGCATTTTGGGGCTTAATTTTACAGTTTTAGGGCCTAACCTATGCCCAGTGTTAGAAGTGGTCAAAGTCGGGTTGGATAGGGCTTTGAGCAACCTGGTCTGGTGACAGGTGTCCATGGCTGCCCATGGCAGATGGCATGGATTAGTGATCATCAGATGTCCCTTCCAATGCAAACTATTACACGATTCCATTATTCCACAGTTCTGTCATAGATTATCCCATGTTGGATGAGACCCTAGTAAAGATCATGGAGTCCAACATCTGATTCTATGAGTCTATGCTTCTGTGATCCTACAGTTCTACAGTTCTGCAGTTCTGTGCTTCACTTCTTATATTGGATATCCCTGTAGTGTGATGCAGACTTCTTGTTTTGTTTTGCTTCTGTGTTTGTTTGCTTTCTCTCAGTGGAAATACTTGAGCACTTGATTCAAACTGTAGCCCTTTGAGTCCTGGCAATTTGAACTGATTCTTTTGAATGCTCCGATGTATTCAGATCTGGTTTTGATATCTGGTTTGTATTACTGCAAAAAGAAAATGACTTCCCTAACACTGTTCACTCCTCCTTTACCACCGAAAGATCTCATGAATCCCTTTGGTTACTGTACTTAATTCCTATTCCACCATTGACAGAAATCACCTCATTTTCCTGAAGAGGGTCCCCCACTCTGCAAACATCATCCACATTCCTTGTTCCTTGGTTGTTCAGATCAATTCCTCCTTCTTCCTTTCTACCAGTTTGCCATTTTTTCTCCTGGTCTATTTAAATTCAGTTGGAATTTCACTTCAAGCTACTGGTAGAGACACTGAATATCTTCCATTTTAGCCTTACTGTCTGGTACTGCAACATATCCCAGACTCCAAGGGTTATTTTCCATTGCTGTGTCCTATAAATCTCAAGGCAGTGTTTCAACCTCGAAACTGCTCATATCCAGAAAGCTTTTAGCCTCCTCCGATCACCCAGACTTCTTTGAAAAGTCTTATTTCCACAGCTGAAAATGGCACCTTTGAAGATGAAGAAAGGAGGAATAGATACCACAGAATAACATGAAGCTTTGATATGGGATCAACAACTTGTTTGCGTGTAGAAGGAAGAAAGTTGAAGCTAGTGATGCATGTAATTTGTACTTTAATGACCCAGTAACCTCTTATTAAGACAATAGTGAGAAAGAAAACTGTTATGCATAGAAACATGCGTGACTATTGAAAATTTACCAAGAACTTTCCAATGGATTTCCAAAAGACACAGCTGTGAAACTGAAAGAAAACAAGAAGAACACAAGTTGAAAAAAAAAGCAGCACTCCTTGATTCCTTAGACAAGTACGAACATGAAGAAACAGGGAAATTTCAGGGAACAAATTAAGGCAGGAATATGATGCCAGTCAATAGAGACTCAAAACAAGGAATTAATAGAAAAGGAGAAGGCTTGAAAAACCATAGGGCTAAAAACTGCCCTGCTAAGGATGAACTTCAGGGTCAGACCTGATAAATAAGGAGTGATAATTCAGCATTTTCTGGGACCACTTGCTGATGAATGGACAGCAAACATCAGCACTGTCCACTGACACATTCAGTAGCTGCACAGGGCTAGTCATGGACTGGGAATGAGTAGGAAAGGTTCTGGTCTGGTTTCATCATATTTTCATGAGGAAGGAGGAGGATTGCAAGAATTTAAATGAAGCATCCAGGTGAAGCAGACTGCCAGTCTCTCGGTGTCAACTCAGAAGCCATTTGCTGCACCTCTACAACTGATCCACTCTCTGCATTTTGATAACTGTTTGCATTATTAGGATGTGGATATTTTGTATTTCTACATTAAAAATGCATAGTATGCATTTTGCTTTTCCTCCATTTTTTTTTCCATGCTGCTTTGTAAATAGCATTGCAGGTTGCAGGCTCTGCTCTGCGTAGGGCAATGTTGAAAATGAAAAGATCTCCTTCATATTATAGCTTTATTCACAGAAATTGGATGGATTGTATAGGTGTGTAATATTACAATTATTTTCAGTATTAGCAGTATTTCAGTATATGTATTCTATATATTTTATTACTGATCCTTTATCACAATAGTTGATAATCACTAGAAGATGTTGCAGGAGGTGTTTGCGTGTCGATAGGAACAAAGAGCTCTTTGGGTTGCTTTATGCTTATTTGTGGAAGCAGCATATGGGTATTGGGTTTGAAAACTTACTTTTGACAGAATGAAATTTGTGGCCAGTTGGAATGATTGCTCCCCAAAATGACCGCTGTTTGTTTGCTTGTTTTTAATAACATCTTTAACATGCAGTAAAGGAACGGCAAGATCAGGAATGTGAAATTAGGGTTTAAGAATTACTGTGGAGCACAAACGTATTTTCTTTTACAGAAGTGGAAGAGACTGGAGCAGTGAGACGTGAGATGGGACAAGGCAAGGAGCTGAGCCCACAGCCATGTGAAGTCACACCAGTGAGGAAGGCAATCGCCCTACAGAGAAAGACAAGTAACAGAGATATCTTCTCCTCAGACAGGAAAGGTGGCAATCACCAACAGCCTTGTGGAGGAACAACTCCTGGGGACTCTGTGGAGCTCCAACAGGCATCTGTCCTGGGGTGCTCTGCCCAGAAGGGTGTCCCACAGCCTCCTGATGGTTGTAATGAGGAAAGAGGGAAATTGGATGCAATGTGCAGCCCTCAGGAGGAGGTCAGAGAGCAGATTGCTATGGGAGCAGCAGCAGAGGGATATCAGAAGTCATGTCAGGCAATGGAGCAATGACCAAGCAAGCTTTGCATTTGTTGAGGTCACTGTGATGCTGTTTTGTTTTGTCTCTGTGGTTGGAGGAGTGCACATACTGGCACAGAAAGCTGGACTGTTATGTTCTGCATGTACAAATGAACTTGTGAAATTGTTCCACAGCCAACTGGGGAACCATGGCCACGTCTAGGCTACTGATCATAGAGTCATAGAATCATTGAATCATAGAATCATAGAGTGGGTTGGGTTCGAAGGAACCTCAAAGCTCTCTTAGCTTCCATAAAAAGCAGGTGCAGCCAGATAACCTGTTGGAAATAGTCCTTGGCTTCTGATACCTTGAAACTCAGTCTTTCAGACTTGTTTGGAGGAGTGCTAGCTGGGTCAGGCCAAAGGCATTCAGAGATCACCAAGCAATTCAGCACTGCAGATGGGGGAGTTTCCACACCCACAGCCTCACATTAATGTGCTCACACTGATGTAGTCTTGGTAGCTAGAGCAATACTGATTGGAGTGTGTACCCATATATACACATATATAAAAATTTCTTCTGATCTTCCCTCTCAAAGAATTTCAGTATGTGCATAAATCTTCTCCTCTTTCTGAGGAAAAAACAAATAAACAACTGTTCAGTTTCACTCTGACTTCCATGCTTCCCTAGTTAAATCTGTGCTTAAGAATATTCCTTTTGTTTGTCTTGTTTTTGAAATTGAAGTGTTTTGTGTTTTGTGTTGTCTCTCCACCATGCCATTATTTTCTAACACCTTTAAATCACTGACTTGTTATGAACAGAACTGTTTATGAGTGATAATAATAATACTGATGTGCTTCAGCTGCTCAGAGAATTCCTCTGTGCTTTGGTTTACTGAGCTGGAAGATGAGGAACTTTATTATACTCTCCCTGTACCATAAACTTCTTGGTTACAATATGCCCTGATGGCATGAGAAAAAATGTATACTTCTCTGTAAGAAAAATGCTTATTCAGGAAGAAGGTGAGAGACCTTGATTTGAAGAATAAACCAGGCTTCAAATGTATAGAACTAAGATGCAGGTGCTGCTTGGTGAGCTGCTCAGTTCTCTGGGGATGAAAGTCTTATTCTAGATTGTTAACCCAAAGGGAGCCCCAGTGGGTGCAAAAATTCACATTCCCTTCTTGTAAAGTACATGCACCTTGAGTCCGAGTTGAAGGGTGAAGATGTAGACATGCCTGATGCTTACAATGTGAACAGGATGTAGAAGGTTAATGAGAAAACAGATTATGCCTTTGGAGACATAGAGAACAGTCAGGCTGCAGTTACCAGACCCTACTACCCAAAGGTTCAGCCAAAATGGAATAACTTCATTTATACTCACTATTGAGGATGCTCTTCATCTGTACAAGCTCCTAAACTGTGCTTTTTCTGGGCGTTTTTGTGGGTAAGTTCCAACTGGATCAGCCTGGATAACAGCAGAGCACTGCTTGATCCCTGATCCTTATCCAAGTTTTGTCCATCAGTACAAGCACAGCCATGAGGACTGATGCACATGTATGATCCCACCCACACTTCCCACTAATAGAAGTAAATCCTATACTCAAGGCACTGTTCCTCTTGAAATCATGGCTTTGTAATGTGAGATCTTTTTGATTTCATTTAGATTTCCTTTTTCTGGATGAGTTGAGTTTGGCTCTAAAAGCATCTCCAGTCTACCATGAGTAGTTCATATCAAGACGTACATGACGTACATTGGTTAGATGAACCTCAACCTGCCAGGTGGAGCTGGATGCGGGACAGATATTAGTCACAAAAGAACAAATAATACCTTCCCCTCTTGTCCTTCTGTCACAGTGTGAGAATTCAAGAAGGCCTGAGCTGAAAGGGTGCATAGTGTCTGTGCTGCTGGAAAAGAACCTCTGTTGCTCTTTCATTCTCATCAAAGAGGCAATAGTTGAACCAATTAAACTGCAAATAATATCTGACTTGTCTGCCAACTTTTATTTCAGTTCCATCCAGACAACTCTCACTTTAGTTGTATTTTGGGATCTTTTCGACCCATAAATGATTATGGTGTCTTTCTGATGTCTCTGCTGGAAGAAAGCTGCTATATTAAAGCAGTGTTCTCCATGTCAGATCATCACAGGTTGATTCATGAGTGTTGGGCGCAGTGCTATATTGAGTTTATAAGTATCATTTTCAGGTAAAATCAGAGAAATTCGAGGCTGAGCCAGGCACCCAGCTGTTTGTGCTGGAGCTTCTCTAGTTCAGGACTGCTGAGGATGAGGGCCTTATGTTCCATGCAGTATAGCAGCCGTTCTGACCTCTTCCATGGAGGAGGACCAGGAGTTTCTTCTAACTTTTTCTACAGAGGTCAAAATATTCTCTTATGTGTATCAACACGGTAGGTCCCTCATGGTTCACAGTCCAAATAAGGTTCACCTTGCAGTGATGTCCAGACTCGGTGACATGATTTAAAAGCCCTTCCTTTCCTCCACAGCTGACACCCAGCTTTATTTTCACATGGTAGAAGATCTTTTCCTCTCTGCAGAAATAGAGCTCCTCCAACACCTGAACCCTGCACTCCTCAGGTAGTTCGACTCCTGCTAGGTGACTCTATCACATCCAAGCAGGGTGAAAGCAAATAACATATCACTAGAAATGTCAGAATTTATGCAAATGACATTCCAGAATTGAATATAAATGATATCACAGAATCACAGAATCACAGAATCGTAGGGGTTGGAAGGGACCTCCAGAGATCATCCAGTCCAACCCCCCTGCCAAAGCAGGATCCCTACACCAGGTTATGCAGATATGCAGAAATTATACAGTGGAGCCCTCTTTGGGGGAAGAAGACGGCATATTGGAAAGAGTTAAGGGCTTTGATTAATCCTTTAATTCATAATCCTTGCATTTATCAAAACTTTGTTTACAGAATAAGTGATGTCTTGCATGTCTAGACCTCTAATGGAGTAAGCAGGGGTAAATAACATTTAATTGCAGTATAGTTGATCTCAGTTTCCTGCAGCACAGTGCATTAATTGAGTGAGTGGTAGAGCATGGGAAACAAGCAGGGAAAAAGTGAAGAAAACGTGTTGAGAATTCAGTGCAAACACAAAGTGAGCCCTGAATAAATAAGAAATTTGATCACTCGTGTGTGTGGGAAGGAAATCATCATGGTCATCATGAAAGAAATGTGATGTCAAATAGTGGTTGAAGAGCATGCTAATAAAGGACGTTGTATCTTTTCTATAAATAGCTGCTCTTAGACTAATAGCAAAAATACCTGGTTGAAATTGAATCCTGCATCTCTGTGGCTGAGGCAGAAGCAGATTTGTTTCGAAAAAACTTTACCATCTGGACAGGCAAAGGCAAAACAGACTTACAGGGAACACATGGCTGAGATGCCCCAGCACTGTAGAATCACAGAATTATTTGAGTTGAAGGGACCCTTAAAGGTCATCTGTTTTCTACTCCCTGCAATGAGCAGGGACACCTGTAGCTCCATCAGTGCTCAGAGCCCCATCCAGACATCCTTGGGTGTCTCCAGGGACATGGCATCCACTACTGCTCAGGCCAGTGCCTCATTGCCATAATTATTCTTAACTTCTTCCCTATATCCAGTCTAAATCTCCCCTCTTTTAGTTTGAAACCAATTCCCATGTCCTATCACAATAGAGCCTGCTGAAGAGTCTGATCAGTGCTTTTGGTGATTTTGCCCAAGACCCTTAACGTTGATATTCTGGAGTTATCCTTAATCCTCTTTTGGGCCAACAGCAGTTTCCACCTTTGCATGATGGCTGTTTATGGATAAGGCTGAATGCCCAAATACCCCACATGGTGAAGGTGGAATGGGGTAGGGAAGTGGTGGAAGGAGACAGATGAGAAACCACAGGGTGACATGTGGGTTATCCATGAGGGAAGGGGAAGCCTTGATAGACCTGAGATTATGAAAGCCTTCTGGCCCAGCTGCAGATGAAAGGAGCTCCCTGTTTTAAGTTGTCGTCATCCATCTTCTGGTGTGAAAACACAGGAGGATTTCGTCTCAATCTCAGCTTTTTGAAGCAGACTAATGGCATGCTGTGGTGAAGACGTATGCTCAAATGTGGCCTGCATTGAGGCAAACTGCAAGGGATGGAATCTGCTAGAGAAGGACCTCCAAGACCCAAACTCTTTCTTGACAGTCATGTTAAATGTCAGCAGAATTGGGAAAGTTTGGCTCTGCTGCAACTAATAGCAAATATTTCATCGAATTTGCTGGGTTTTGGATTTCCAGCCACTCTGCTTGACACCTTTTTCTGTAATCCCATCATGTCCAATGCCACTCAGACTGTATTGGTATACATATGTAGCTGAAAAGGTGCCTTATTTTTAAGCTTGCTCTCCAGGATTTCCTGACTTCCTAGACAATGCTATGGTCAAAATTATTCTTTCTTTTATTTTTTTTTTCCTTTTTTTTTTTTTTTTTCTTTTTCCTTTTTATGGAAGTGGTATTTTTTCCTCTTATGTATGTCTGAAGCAGAGGAGTGCATTACAGACAAATTTGCCTAAGGCTTTGGGCCAGAGTTGATGAGACTTCACGAAGATACAGGAACAGGCACATGGATAGAAAAGAGAAAGTCTGTGAAAAATTAAAATGACAAGGCTGGTTAGGGAGCGGAGATAACTGGTGATGTAGTGAAATTAATTACAGTCTGGGTTGAAGGAATTGTGTGCCTAAGACAAAATTAAAAAAAAAAAAAGAAAAGAGAGAGAGAGAGAAACCAAATAACAGCAATGGGATTATAAACCCTTTCATCATCTCTATATGGTATAACTATTTATTATGGCAGTTATTCCTATAACATGAGAGGTAACAATGGCAAGGAAAGGAGGTGAATCTCCCCTCAAAAAGTGCTGATTCTGCATCAAAAAGCCTTATTGAGAGTGGAATTACACAAACAAAATATCCTCCAGTGGACTATGAACTATAAAAGAAAACATTTACTTTATCAGCAGTGCTGTCTGATGCAACACTCCAAAGCTAATCATAGAATCATAGACTTGGAAGGGACCTATATAACGGTAGGCACTCACTGATTATACAGACTCACAGAATTTTTCAGTTTAATTTTTTGCAAAATTATGCACGTGCCAAGAGCTGAACTGATCCCAGCTTTGTACAGACAGGAAGAACCTGACCAAAAGTGTGGGAAAAGTTGAGTGACCATTTGTTATGAAGACAAAACAGTAAAAAGACGATGGGGAGACCCAGATAGGCTGCAAGATCATTCCAGTATTTCTAATTCACTGGCAAATGTCCTGGCATGGTGAGTTCTCTGGTATGTAAGAGGAGTGAAATAAAGCATTTAGTAATGGAGGTTGAAATGTCTTTTGGAGGAGGGATGATCAGTGGGGTCTTTACCCTCTACTTTTGTTTTCTTTATCTTTTTTTTTTTTTTTTTTTTGTTATTATTTTATTTTACCTTGGGACCAGCGAAAAGTAGAAAAGGAATAGGAAAGAAAAAATTGAAAACACAACGCTGCAAAATTGGTGATACATATAAATGCACATATACACACACTATGTGTATATGCATACTACACATAAATATACATACAAATATGCATATATATATATAACTGCTCAATTTATCCTTAATTTTATGCTCAAGGTGAAAAATATGGCGCACAGAAGTCATAACAAAATGGAGGATGGTGTGAAAAAAATGTCTGATCTTTTGATCCTTTCTCTTCATTCTCACTGAGGTAAAAAGTTTTATCCTAATATGCTCCTATTACATCCTGCAGGTCTTAAATGCTTCAGTTCAAAGCTTTTTCTCTCACAATATAAGATAAATGAGAAATAGTTTGTATTGCTGATGAGCTTGGCTCTATTTGCAGTTACGAACAAAGGCCATGACAGAGGACTGCGTATAAACTTCATAAACCTTTAAATAGTTTCCATGTTGGATCAGATCAGATACTCATGCTGAGAGCTGCTGGTGTTGGATATTTGGGGAAAAATACGACCAAAAAGGAAATATGATGTGAACATTCCTTGGATTTGACCTTAAGCAAGAATAGACTTCTGGGACTGGTGGTTGCCCCAAGTGGCATTTTGGATGGACCCATTTTCCCTGAAAATGAAAGAATAGCGTTGAATTATTTATATCCTATGAGTAAAAAAAAAAAAAAAATTATTTTGGCTTTTGTTTTAAAAGTCATGCTGTGTATTTCCCAAGTTTTGTTGCATGAATAATAGGGAGAAATGCTCATCTATCTTGCTTTTCTAGATGTCCAGGCTATTCCTTCAAGTCAGAGTCCCATGGGATGAAGGGAAGAGATAAGGGGTTCCCCATAGAAGTAGAAGAGGAGAATATATACTCAGTCCTCCTGAAGAAGAGCTCTTTGCCTCTGGATTTACGCAGTGAATCCCTATGCACGCAGGGTCGTTGGTCAGAGAAACAAGCTAGATGTGAGCTGGCCAAAACGCTCTGCTGGGGTGGGTGTGGGTTGCCTCATTCATTTCCCTTGAGGTCACTTGTCCATCCCCAGCAATGGGTTAGGTGTGGTTGAATTAATTCATACCTTCACTCCTGCTGCACCTCTGCCTTGCAAAGTACATTACACATGAAGCCAGTGCCCAAGACATGCCAAGTCTTGCAGCCATCAAAGGGAGCACTGTTAAAAATAACCCACCCCTCCTCTCCCCCCACTCCCTTGCCTGTCTCTCCGTGTCTAGGTGCTGACAAAAGTTATTTGTCGTATTCCCTTCATTCGGTGAGTGACAGGAGACTGGTGTCAAGTGAGAAAATGAAATGTAAATTTTATTAAACACCTTCTCATCTCTGTGTATCAATCCAGATTCCAGCCTAACACAGCAAATCAAATCCTGTCTTCGCCAGGCCTGAGGGCACGCAGAGAATCATTTCTCCTTAATACCATTCCCTCCTAGTAAAATATTTTTCTGTTTAGTAAATGAAAATTTAAAATGCAAACCCTATTTTAATCCCTGAGAAAAGATGTGCGTTGCGGGGAGAAAGATGCTGTATTTCATTCTGTTACGCCTTGTGCTTTCTTCTT